CTGTATATCATAAATAAATAAATAAAAAAACCTCCCGAGTTTATGAATCTCAATTATCAATTTTTTTTTTTTTTGCTTTTTTATTATTTATTTTTAGTTTCAGGTACTCTGTGCTAGAAGCGCTGGTTTCTACTCACCACGCGTTTTATCGACCAAAAAACCGACCAGTGAGGCCCCCAAAAACCTTTCCAAAGATTCCACTAGATACCATGTTACCCATAATGCCGGAAGTGATCTGGTTGGCCTTACCAAACTTGTCGCAGCGGCTGAATGCCAGTGCATTGGTAATTGTGAGAATGAGGGCCACGATGATAAGCAGCAGCCACAGAAACTGGAATTTGAGCACTGCTAGTAGCGCCAGCGCCAGCCACAGTGCCGGAGTAGCATAAGAAATCAGCCAAAACACCTTTGAATCGATTGGATTAATGTAGCGTTGTGGATCCGCCGTTTCAAACACCCAGATGCTACTACCGTCGGCTCTACTTTCATTCCACCAGCGCAGGCCCACGAGCAACCGGCCCGAAACATTTTTGACATTCCAAAAGTCCGCTGCAAGCAGAAGAATCACCAAAATAAATACAAGAACAAAGTTGTTGATAAACAGCAGCCCAAAAAGATATGTTAACAGAGCACCGAGACGAAATGCTAGGAAGAATATCAGAGCAATAGGATGCGAACTCTCCGAGAGCCGCTGGAAAAGCGTCCGCTGTGGTTGTTCATTGGCAGATTGGGGAAGCGGTGTAGACTAGATCAAGCAACAAAGAGCACATGTTAGTAAGCCCGTTATAATTGACCTAATTCATGTTATGAAAGCTATGGACCTACCATTGTTATATGTACGAATCGTGTGTGATGAACCCCGTCGCGAGCTTTGGTGATGCGTTGTCAGTTGGGAGCAGGAGAGTCAATATGAATCCTGAGGTGGGATGAAAGACAGGGTTAGGTCCAACAATTGTAACAAATCACTTTTAAGTCTTAAACCTTAAACTCTTTGTCTCCAGGTAGAACTATTTCTGCCAGTTCTCTGAGGATGGCAAGAAAATGTAGATAGATAAATAATCAGTTTATTGACCATATATTGAATAGTTGCAAACAAAATATAAAACAAAATAGCATACAAATAAAACATGAATATCAAAAGCATTTGTCTCTATGAGGCTTCTCGATGAGTTTGGTCTAATACCGGTTGACAAGCAGGGTCCTAGCTGACTTTTTGACAGGAATTGCCAAAAAAAGCCATGAAAATAAGACACACGGTTATAGCTATGCAAGCTAACATTGTTTGAACTTAGTATGAAATAAGTCAGCAACCGTTTTTATCTTTCAATTTTGAAAAAAAAAAAAAAAAAAGTAGGAAAAGGAAAAATAAAGATTAATAAAAAGGATAACGACTCCTAAAGGTATCACAGCAATTCAAAGTCCTTCCATAAACTTTTTCTTCATTGATTCTTGAAAGACTACTCAATCTTCACTTAAAAAAGTAAGTAAAAGACCACAAAGCTATGGCCGGCAAAAATAAAGTAGATTAACATTGAAAATATTCAAAAGATAGCCTGGAGTCTTACATTTTGAGTTAAAGTCAAAGATATGACACAAATGCCATAACAGGGGGGAACTTTTATCCGAGTTTATAAAGTACCATCCAAAGCCTAGTGGATTTATAATAATATGAGCTTTTGGTTGTATTCTTGATGATAGCAAGCAGATCGTGATCAGAACAATTGGGTCCATCCAACTAACTTGTTAGCGTACCTACTTCTGGTAGAGCTACATTTTGGTTGTCTTCCCTTTTTGGAAGCCCAAGTTCACATTTTTTGGACATTTAACCCTGCGCTTTTTTGCTTTTTTTTTTTTTTATTGCTGATATTCACGGATGTTTGAGCAATTAGATGCTTGCTAAAAATATATTGCAGGAGAACACGGAGAATATAATGCTCTGACCTCTCTTTTAATGAGTTTTACAAACCTGATGCTACTTTGCATGTATAAAAATTAGACGTTTAAAAAATATATAGAGTTTTTTTTTTTTTTTTTTTTTTTTTTTTTTTGATAGCTCTCAATAAATTTCAGTTTCTGTTCATTTACACAATCGAAAATTTCCGGTTTTCTACTAGTGGTACAAAGTTGGTTGAATGTACTTCGTCTATTGAGAACTGATCATGGTCTCTTCCATTTTTCTGATTACCTGTTCGATCAGTTTCAACAGTTTACAGTTATTCCTTTAGATATCAATTTTTTTCTTTCTTTTTTTTGGCTTGTCATACAAAATCTGATACGAGTTTTGCAAGATAAAGTTTCTTAATTCCCCCTTTCCGTGATTTTTCATAGAGTAGCATATCAACGAAAGTGTATTTAAGCGGTTCTACAGTAGTCTATCTGTCCTTGTATCTAAGACCATGATGATATCATTATGAAACTTCTAAGACTTGAACGTCTGTCGTTATCAGATAATTATCATGCACTTCAGCATGATAAAATGTTTGGGTCCTATCATACGATGTTATGGTACAAGGGCGTTCATTTCTGGGGTGCTGTATGAAATCTCCCAAAAGTGTGGTATAACTGTAGCTTACAGGGCTTCCGCATAGGTATTCGCTTACCATGCCTTAGGACGGATAAAATTCCGGTATATCACATAATCATGACATACGCGTATCGGCCTTTATCCAACTCTTGCTAGCACATGCCTAACATAACAGGCACAAGCAATGACCACCTGCTACACATAAAACATGTATGTCTAGTGGATATCGACTTACTCCAGCGTTCCATCGCCGATGACACTGAGTCGTGATTAAGTATACTTAGGTAGTTCAAACACATTTTCAAAGAACTAGAGGCTTGATTGAAATTTCCACGACGCTGCAATAAATAGCCAAGCAGACTGTTATGTATGTAGCCAACTCACAGTAGTAATGGCTAATATTTTAGCAGATAAAGATACGTTTCATGGACCACAATGTTCCATCCGTCTAGTAACAAAGACTCATAAGTACGTTACTGAAAAGGGTTTGACAAGAAAATATATATATTACACAAAGATCAGCCATGAGCCATGCCCCAATCTCATTATGCAAGACAATCTAGATAGAATTAAATTGTGTTGTTATAGATTGATAATGGTATGCAGCTGTTTAACACAGGTGTTTGAATTAAATAGACCTATAGGTAGAAACTAAGTAGTAAGCTAAAGCAAATGGTGGTGAGAGACGTAAAGTTCAAGTGACGTGAACCAGTTGTGCACTCCCACCGATCGTTGGTGCTGTACCTAAGCAAAAAGCTGCTGCACGCGCTGACCCACAGACAACTTAGATAAACTAGATGATTACTTTCCAGTGCTGATCAAAAAAATAGCATTCAAAACCCAGAAATGATTTACAAATATTTTTGTCCACTGCGTTGATGGTAGTAACTGTCAAATAAGGGCTTCTATGTGAAGAACTCGTGATATATTAGTCAAATACTTGGGCAACAAGATACTAAAGTCGATACTTAGAAGTTGGACTAACTCGCTTAGAAAGCCAGCTTAATAGTAGCGTTGCACTCAGTGGTACTGAAGGCAGCTTTCTATGCAGCACATTGGCTAGACACTTTGAACAGGTTTTGACTACACAACATATCTCCAATTAAAACAACAGACAAGCTTGTGTGAAAATCTGATACAGTTGAGGAGGTCTTGAAATTAGTTTCGCATAATAGTATAGTCAATACTGTCTACGGCTTATAGCATGAACTGTAATACATAGATCGGCATGGCCGACATGTTCCCGTTAAAAATCTTGAGTCGTGACTTGGGCGAGATCGTTCGCCAACTCTGTTTTTGGGTTAGCTAGGGACGCCCCTAAAAACCCCTTGCACGCTCTTTTTTTTTTGCGGATGAAACCTGGCCCTGAGTCAAGTGAACCAAGAAAACATGCAAAGAGAACGAATCTGAGATGCTTATGAGACAGTGCTTGCTGTAACAAGTCATGCTACCCTATTAAAGACGTTTACTCGTCCATGACATTTGGTTTCTAATACAGACTAAAGTTGCTGTTTTATTTGCGTCTGTTTATGTAACAATCATCTCATATTTCCTCGTTTATCGCCAGTCTAAGGGGTTGCCAGGTTATAATGGCTCATTTTGGGGGCTCTACATCATGTAGTACAGTATCATATCGGCAGATACCCGCTTAACAATCTATCCGTTCCAGATTTGCATTTACTATAAACGTTAGATTCCAAGAGTCCTGTGATCTATTTCACAACCAATAGATATAACTGATATTGGGGGTTATATTCATAACGAGTCTCCCGCTATTGCCGAGGTCAGTCGAGTTAGCCGGGGTATTTTGCTGCAAAAATCACTTTTTTTGGTGTAATTTGCAGGTTAAGTTGGAATAACCCTAATTATATGTATGCTGGTACTTTTGAAGTTTGTTGCTGCGGTTGCTGATGCTGTGCGTTTGGTTTCGACCAGGGTATCGAATCTTAGTTGTAAAACCCGAATGCACAACCTTCGCTGCCTACAATTATTTTTTTTTTATTCCCCACGGACTATTAAATGGCACAAGTTAAGCGTGTTGTCACCACAGTCAAAATGGGAACTTGATGTAAGGAACGCCTCTTGTTATATCTAGGCTCGTTGGTTTTACAGAAAACAAATAAGCCCATATATGCAGCTTGGTTTTTTTTTTTTTAAGATCATATGCAGAAATCTTTACCGAGCCTAATGCAAGTTATAGCAAGGCATAAAGCCTTGTAAAACGCATAAATGGTTCTGATATCATAAAATATTATTGAATATAGAAAAAAATTCCACAATATGGCCATGCTGTTAAGACGGGATCTAAGTCATCTTATGCCACTAAGAAACGGATCCTGCCACCCGCCTACACTGCATGACTCGAATCGAGGCAAGTCCTACCAAAATCTGGTTTCAAGTCCTTGGTTCTCTTAGGTATTATTTTGATTAGAGACAAAGGAAAAAATAAAATACAAACAAAAAAATTGAAAAAAGATGAGAGCTGCGAGATTCGAACTCGCGCATCCGAAGATACCAGAGATTTCATTTTAGGGTTTACCTAAATCTGACGCCATAGACCACTCGGCCAAACTCCCAATTTTCTGAAAAAATAAAAATAGTCTCTTTCACTATGAAATCAAAGATAATATAAAAATTTGTACAAATAGTAAACTTTTGGTAACAAGAAGTATTCATAATGCTTTAAATTATTCTTCATTTTACACTATTTTTAGTTTTGCCTGTGAATTGAATTATTAGATAGTTTTTACTGTAGTAAATTAGCGGGGCAGAAGTGTATTATCAAAAGATGACGTAAACTTGGTCGGCTAAAGATGCATTATTTCTTCTTTTGTCTAAACAAAAATTAACATTTTGCCGTTTAAGCAGTACCCCCAGAATCCAACCGCAAACAGAAATTTTCCCTAGACATCGACTACTCTCATCTCGTGAAAAGCATACCCATTGAGCGTAAGGATATTAACCTGATTATGCATTTATAGTCATTAGCACTGAGATCACTAATTTTAGAATGTTAGGTCTCTTTGTGTATCCTTTTGTCTGTTAATGTTTGTTGCAATGTGTGCGGGGTGTCAAGATGAGGGTTGAACATACAATGGGGATAATTAAATTTATAGTTGTTTGAAGCTTAGCTGGTTACTATTAGAATTTTAAAAGATTATGTAAAGACACAAAAAATAAAGCAATAAACTCTTCTAGTTTTCTTCTATCAGTAAAAATGTGGGGTAATTGGCATTACACTGGTCTGACTAGGTTAGCACCCTTAAATAATTTGGATTGCGGGTGTGTAAACAATGAACATTTCCAATATAGCTTTATTTCATCGAGTACCGGAAAGAGCCGATGATGACAGTTTTGACAGGTGCGCCGATTTAGACTTTATCCTCAATATTATTATGACAAGCCCCATTCGTTCTAATAAAGACTCGAATTTTCAAGAGTATTCTTTTTTTAAAAAAGTTTTCTTTAATAACAATAATACTACTAATAATATTTTCTGTTCAAGTCAATTGCATTATTCTTGTATCTTGTCTAACCTATATTGTAACAGTTTGCAACTATTGAGACGACAGCAATACTAATGCACTTACCAGTCTTGTTTAGTGTTCATCATAACGGGAGTTTCGAAATCAGCCGCAGTTTCTATAGGGGGTTTAGTTTAGTCCCTGGCCAGTGACGTTGCAAATTTCTAAGAGAGTGTAAATAATCATTCTTTGCAGTGCTTCGGCGCCCAAGGTAAGCTTCTTTTTTTTTCTTTCTCAAAGAACACGACAAAAATAGTCTAGTTGGCAAGTCCACAGCCAGATGATAGTCGCTGCCTGAAAACGAGCGGGAAGTGAGAGAAAGAAATGCTTTTTTTCTTGTTTTTCTTCGTATGGTATCAATATGCGCTCATGTTGATGTTAATTAATCATGCAAGATTGAAGAGTTATGATCACTGTGTCCTTGTTTACTGACAGAAAAGTGAGCAAAATATTTTGAGTGCCCAATATAGTGAAAAACAGCCCCCTCTCTGGCTAGTTTTTGTTTCTTTTCCCTCAGACAGAAACAAAACTTGTTAAATCTGCAGTATTGTCACAGTAACTACTACATATCCCGCGACTTTGAAACGTAAATAAGGGAGTTACTGTACAATCCATCAAGATTTTACCAAGCTCATCTGTGTACCACCATGCCAAAGGTTACACAGCCTGTCTACTACTAAAATAAGCTGTTCTGGAACGCTAGTCATAAGTATACATTGGAGATCGTTCCTAACCCTATACTAATACCAACCCTTTTTGCGAAAATTATAGTGCTATATTCCTATCTCGAGACCCAGATGATTTGTAAATGCCAGAGGGAAATCAACTAAAAGGCAGCTAGAAATATGTTTCAGGAATTTGGCTAGGAGTATTTTATTTAAAAACATGAGGCTAATATTTAGGGATTTGATGTCGAGTTTTTACTCTTGGATTCCTTAGGAATCTTGCAGAAATTGACTGCTCTGAATAATTTAGAGTAAGCCAAGGTTAAATAAGGCGTGCGTCAGTATAGTCGTAGTACTGCATCTACAATAATTTAGCCAGCGGCAACAGTGAATCGTAAAATCTTGTAGCTAAAATACGAATCCCAAAGACCCCAGAACCCTGGAGGGGTACCGTTGTGGTCACGTACGCCAGTCATAATTTATTTTAATTTATTTTATTCTCTTCCCGCAAGGTTGCTGTGCTTTTAAAAAAACACCAAATCAGTTGTAGCAACCCCTTCCTCCTGGATAACCTTGAAAAATGCAGCCAAACGATGAGAGTTGGAATAAAGCAACGGCGCGATGGACTAGAGATAAACGGCACTATATTCTCTATTGGTGCCGCCCGGCTAACGAGACGAAGCCATTGATATGTACGTGTTCTAACTTTGTCAGTGGCCCCTAGTGAGAGTACGAAGGAAAAAAGATTGTCATTGCGCATCCCAAACTATTTTTTGTACTATGAGTGTAATAGGATAAAATGATACTTGCGGTTCTTACGAGCAAATGGTGCGAATCTACTGCATATTTCCCAGTTTGAAATACATTTTCCTGGATGCTTTGAGAAGTTAAAACAATAACCCTTACTAGAGAACCCAATTTGTATCCTGGCCTTTGTTTTTTTTTTAAAAAAAAAGAGAATAAAAAAAAGGTAGATTTTGTTAGATAGATATATTTAAATACGAGACTATATTGAATATTGAAGATTTGGTGCACCAGACTAATTGTTAACAGCAAGACGAAAGTGATGACTTTTGGAGTTTCAATAGTGTCATCAACCACGTTAATACCCGTAGCTTAAAAAAAAGGCTGCAGCCGTCGTAACCCTTAAACCTGAAGACATGTCATCCTAACAACTATACCGAGGTTTTTGCTATTTCGTATGTATTTTTTTATTACTACAGTCAGTAGTGAGAATGCTTGTTTCCGCATTTTCTGCACCATGTAAGTATCTAACGTATGATTTAACGCCTCGGGATCATTAAATTTGCACGCTTTGTATTTCTACCTTCCATGACAAAAAATATATATCAAAACAATATAAAAAGCCTGTAGGTTTTGTTCTGCGCTTAACCAGGGGTGCACACAACTCCATATATAATACCACAGACCCGCCAATCCAAAGTCTTCAAGACTCAGTACCTGCCGGGCAAAAAGGTCTTGCCTCTATGTACTATAGATTCTAACACGTGGCCCAACCCCCTGTGCGAGCTCAAACCGGATTTACACTACAAATAGTCTCTAGTTCTAATGCGCCCCAGTGCTAACAAAGTTGATGAACTCTATGAATTTATTTGGGTGGTGAGCACACCATATTAGCACGATCATTACGGGTCATAATAGGGCTGCAGCACCTATAAGGTACAATGTAGAGTTGATTATATATAGGCTATAGGTTACCAATTTCCAAAACACCAGCCGAGTACCTTCACGCTTATCTTCCCCAGAAGATTGACATCATCCATCAGTCCCTCTCCTCGGTGACACTCGAGGGAGCGATAAGTAGATCTGCATAAGCGCTAGACATATATAGAATTAAGCGCTTACGCTAGACATTTTGAGGTACAGTATGGTCTCAACCTCACAAGATCTGGGTAGGAATCCACTAGACCCACGCATGTGCGCTGTCTACGCTGGTTACTATGAGACAGGCGTGCAACCTATAGACACCACCTAGCTCTTTGGCAGTCAAGGATTGTCCTCTATCGTTAATAGTGGCCGTCCCAGCGTTTGGAACTTGATCCATTAGTTAATGCCAGCCGTGTAGGTTTCGAGATTGGCTAGATTTGGGCTTCTTTCGATGCCACGCGCGACCCCAATGATCTAGCCCTCACTCTAATACTTCATGGACGTACGCCGGAAAATCAGGATTAGTGCGCCGGAAAAAGGAGTAAAACAAAGTTTTTTTGTTTTTTTTTCTTGACTCGGTTTCTGATTCCCTCCTCCTCAATTAGTACAAAATGGCGCTGATAAAGTAAATGCCTTTTTATTAAAGGCAGGTGACTGTTCTAGAGCAAGTTTGTACGGTGACGGGAAGTGCATAGCAGAGCTCGCTTAAGCAAGTGGGTTTGTCGACGCAGATTCTTTTTTTTTTCTTCAAAAATGGGACTGTTACCTACTCCCAACTCGGCTATGAGCATTGCACGTGTGTAATATGGAGCATTTTGTTTGCAGGGTGGATTGGATCCTGCTGTTATGAGGACCAAAACCATTGCCTTTTCACGTCACTCCTGATTTGTACTACATGTATGACACATAAATACCACAGAGCTTTTCTACTAATGGCGACATTTGATCCCAAACGATTATACATTATCCGAGGCAGACTCAAAATATGCTCTTTCCAATATACCGTAGCATCAAGTAGGAAACATCAACAAGTGGTGATACAAAAAAAAAAAAAGGTTTGGCAGTTCAATTAGATTGAGTTTTCCTGTTTTTGGAAAAAAATTTCATCCCCCTAATTCCAGACTGCATCTAAATATTATATCAGTTCGAGGATTTTAAAACTGTTGGGAATGGCTGAGAACGGCTTCGAGGATAACGATATGCCCAACCGTATGGGTACTTGATTCTTGGAAGGCTTGACTTCTTTCTTTTAATGCAAGTTCGCGGCCGTTAAAAAGAATCGACTGGACTTTCATGACGTTCAGGCTAGAGAACAGGGTTTTTTAAAACCGGCATCAGTTTGTCATCCAGGAGGGCTATATATGAAATGGTGTAGTATTCGATAGTTATCATTAATGTGTGCCGGGGAATTTTTTTTTTTACTTTTTTTCTTCTGGAAACAGGCTAGAGAAAACGAGTTGACCTTGTCAAGAACTGAGACTGGGCCAGGATCCTCGAGACATTGGTACCAATACTCGACATTTTCTGTACGTGTCTATTTTCAGATACATGAAGCTGGAAGCACCCCTTTGCTCTGGAGACCGTCTACGACGCTAAAGCTTCGGAGGTCCGAGAAAAAAATAAATTATTTAGAGCGGTAATTACATGACCATATACAACACCAGGGCAATTGTGGACAAGAAATTTGAGCTTACCTTCCATAGTCAACAGTAATCACGT